ACTCAAGGATGTGGAGCTGTAAAAGATGTTAAGTTCACCCTCTTCTAGTGATATGTTCCACATTGAAGATAAGTTGTGGGCTTGCCAACTCTAGTGGTGTAGGCACATTAAGCATGGTAGAACTAATGGTAACTAGCTTGAATAAGGACAAAGTAGTACGACTTTGCACTTAGATTCAAGTAGGCATTGATCATGTGGAGATTACTTCCATTCAAGTTTGACTATTTATGAAAATGACTCTCAAGAAATATTAAGGTAAGTCGGGCAAAAATTTAGTTATGATAATAAGTATCTCTCCCTTGCCATTTTTTAATAATGTAACCTAAATAAGGGGAAGTATGTGAGATCTCCCTTTAGTTAGGACTCTAAATGAGTTAAGTTGAATCAAGTCGAGTGAAGTTCCTTAAAACTTGACTTGAACTCGATGCTGTAGAAGTTGCATATACATACCTAAATTTTGGTTCGAATATCCCAAAAATTGGTATGAAATAATATATATGGACCACTTTTGGTTTGTATAGTTGATCCGAAAAAACATGGTATGAAATAATATATATAGACCGAAGGGAAATCAGTTCGTATAATTATATTATTCAGACTAAAAATGGTTTGCAAATATTGGTAAAAAATATAAACTGTCATTTTAAAATTGAAATAAACAGACTGTAAACAGTCTGGAAGCTGAGAATATAATAAAATAATAACATAATTACATACCAACAACGGTCTGAATATTTAGAAGGAAAGTTGTTACAAAAAATTTATTCGGACCATTTTTGGTCTAAATATATATGTCCTTATCAGCAAGGATTAAAAGTTGGGTAGAAAGACCCCCACTAAGTATATTTAGACTAGTTTTGATCCGAATATACGGGACCCAGTGGCAACTTTTGAAAATTCTAGTGTCAATGTGTCTGTTTTCGTAAAATCTATACAGACCATTAACAGTTCAAATATCTTGGATTCATATGTAAGTTTTGAAATGTATGCCGCCTATATTATCATCACATTGAAGCATATTCAGATTGTTTTCGATCTGTATATAGGCTGAATTACAAAAAAAATGGAATCCATCCCGACAATCTACTGTCTAACTTGGATTATTCAAACCAATTATGGTATGAAATAAAAGCTTTTAACAAAAAATAAAAATAAAAATAAAAGAAAAAAAATAAAATAAAATATATTTATTTTATTTATTAATTACATAATATTACCAAACGCAAAATTATATTTTCCAAATCAATATATCTATGTTTATAAAGAAATAAAATAATTTTGTACTAATTACTTAATATAATAACTAAAAACATGTAAAATATTAATTGCATTATATTCAAACTATACAACAAATAAAAATAAATTTCAACCTTATTTAATGTGCTAAATTATAATAATTACACAAGCAGAACTAAACACCTAATATTTTGATTTTAGTTAAATTAAAATTTCAAGTGTACAACATATAAAAAAAATGAGAATATAATATAATATTGGTAATTTTTAAAAAAATCCACAACAATCATTATAATTG